TTCAAGAAAGTGGAGAAAACTAAAATACTCCAAGGGAAGGCCAGTAAATGTCCTAGATAAGCAGTGTTATAGGGTTGTTGCCAACTTTCATGAAGTTCTTGTTAACCATAATAAATGACACTTTTGGAAAATGTAGAAAAGAAATTTTCTGTCAGTAACAGCAGTTAAAACATCTAGAAGTCCATTGCTCTCCCTTTTCTCTAAAATAAAAATCTTATAGTATTTCAACAGCCATAGAAAATCATGAACAACAGTCTAGGCCACATTTTGATAGAAATTTTTGCTCCACATATCAATCACTCCCAATTAGTAATTTCCTGGTTAATGTTTTTTGGTAAATGTTTGCAAAAGAAAAGGAGTCATAATGTAGGTAGGTCTACTTCTTCTAGTTTGTGATTTCTGATAGTTTCAATAATTTGTCCCTTTCCAGTGGCCCTCAAATAATACACACACACATATTTAGGGAGTTCTGGTGGCATAGTGCCTAAGGCATTTGACTGCTAACCAGAAAGCTGGTGGTTCAAACCCACCAGCCACTGCCTTGGAAACCCTAGGAAGGGTCGCTATGAGTTGGAATCTTTTTTTTTTTCTGGGGGGAGAGAGAGAGAGAGAGAGAGAGAGGGAGAGAGGGAAAGAGAGAGAGAATAGAATCAAAGAAAAATAGAGACAAATTAGAGAGCCACTCTTCGGAAGGAAGGTTGGGCAATCTACTTCCATAGTGATACCGCCTCGGAAACCCAAGGAGAGGTCGCTATGAGTCAGGTCTCACTCGATGGCACATAACAACAATAACAACATGTTTAAAAGGCAGTGAACAAATGAAGGTGAAGAAATTAGAGAATTAACATTTATTGAGCCTCTTGTTTGCCAGGTTCTTTGATGTGTACTTAACATTAAAAAAGTGAAGTGTTGGGAAGTTTTCTAATATTTTACACTAATAATACATAACAATAGTGTAGGCTATATCTTCTTTTCTTTTTTAATTGCAGTATAAGACTATCTGTAATTTAAGTCAATCAGAATTTGGGTAAAATTCAGAAGTTCAAAATCACTTTAGGATCTATTTAGAAATGCACGTTTTCAAAGCAGTGTTTATTTTATAAAATCATGGATATCGAGATTCATTTAAAATGTGTAAGAAGAACCAGTGAAGTTTCAGATTGTCTTCTCCACAATTCTCTCTTTGCCTCTTACCTCCCTGCAAACACCCTGCTCATCTGTCTGTCTCTTGTCCCCTAATTCTTGCAGCCAGCCCTGCTTCATGCAGGTGTGGAAGACAAAATTTAAGCTTGCAAGGCATGGCCTAAGGAGCTCTGGTAGCATATTGGGTAAGATATTTGGTTGCTAACCAAAAGGTTAGTGGTTCAAACCTACCAGCTGCTCCACAGGAGGAAGTTGATGCAATCTACTTCTAAAAAGATTTACAGCCTTGGAAACCCGATGGGAGTCGCTTTGAATAAGAATTGACTCAATGGCAGTGGTTAGTGTGGCATTCTCTACCTAAGCCAGCAGTAGGAAGTGGCATAGGGGATCAACCTTTAGCTAGTCTTCTGATGGTCCTTTGGTGGAAAGCTAGGTTTCCTAATCAGATGGAGACAGGCAACTAGAGAAGTCAATCCTTTTGCTTCAGGCTGAATATGAAAAGCCAGAATTCCTAAGGCCTTAACCTTTCACATCAGAAGGAAGATTGGGCAATTTACTTCCATAGTGATACTGCTTCAGAAACCCAAGGAGGGGTGGCTATGAGTCAGATACAACTCGACAGCAGTGAGTTTGGTTTTGGAGTTTTACCTTGCATGAAGGAGCTCTGGTGACACAGCAGTTAAGGCATGCAGCTGCTAACCAAAAGGTCAGCAGTTCGAACCCAGCAGCCATTTCACAGGAGAAAGATGTCGCTGACTACTGTGAAAAAGCCTTAAGGGGCGGTTCTACTCTGTCCTATAAGGCTACTGTGAGTCAGAACTGACTCAATGGCAGTAGTTTTGGTTTGGTTTAACCTTACACAAGGAGTCCTGGTGGTGCAGTGGTTAAGCATTCAGCTGCTAACCAAAAGGTTAGTGGTCCAAACCCACCAGCAGTTTTATGCGAGAAGTATGTGGCAATCTGCTTTTGTAAAGATTACAACTTTGGAAAGCCTATGGGGCAGTTCTACTCTGTCCTGCAGGGTCATTATGAGTCAGGATCAACTGCACGGCAATGAGTTTGGTTTGGGTAATCTTGCACATTTTGAAGAAGGCAGGGCTTTATATACGTTCATATCCTCTACTGGGCCTCTTTCTGGCCACCAGGCATGCTGTTAGCAAAATGACAAGAAGTCCTGTGATACTCAGGCCCACGGCCACAGGGATTTCTCTCCTGCGTCTGTCACTGGAGCATTCATCCGCTGTAATTGAAGTCAGAGTGACAGGTGTTATAGCCTGGTCACAAACACTGGGAAGTGACACTTGTCCTGTCTGCCTCAGCTTCACAGAGGAAACTGAGGGAGAGGAAGCCCCCACCTGCTGCCTCCAACATACAGACAGGCGAAAACAGAAGAGGTGAAAACGTCAGTACAACGGATCTGAAACCTGCAGTGCTTGCAATCGTTTTGGAAACCCTATGCAGCAGTCCTACCCTGCCCAATGGGGTCAATCGAGTTGACAGCAGTTGGTTTGTTTTTTGTTTTTTGGTTTACTTTTATATTTGCAGGATTCTTCTCTAGTTCCTCAAGTTTCTGTTTAAATGTCACCCTTCGGTCAGGTCCTCTGACCCCCACCGTGTTAATCACACCTTTGTCCAACTCCCACAGCTCTTTGTACATATGTCTTTTAAAATACCATACTCTATTGTAACCTTTTTTTTTTTTTTAAATCACTCCTTTCTTCCAAACTTCTAGTTGTTGTTGTATGCCTTCCAGTTGATTTCAACTTATAGCAACCCCAAGAGGACAGAGTAGAACTGTTCCACAAGGTTTGCAAGGAATGCTTATGGATGCAGACTGCCTCATCTTTCTCCAGTGGAGTGGCTGGTGGGTTTGAACTGCCAACCTCTCCATTAGCAGTCAAAGACTTTAGCCATTGTGTCACTAGAGCTCCTCACTGGTAGAAAGTTTTATTTACAGTATGACATGCATTTTGATATTTAAGCTTCTTTAGTGAAATCTGAAGCACAGACTGGGTATTAATACAGAGCTGACTGAAGCCATTAACAGTAGAGTGAACAAGGGAAATATTTTGAAGATAGGGGTGATAGGACTTAGTGACTGTTTGCATCAGGGGGTGCAGGAGAAAGAGGGGGTAAGGATAACCAAAGTTTCCTGCTTGGGAAACTACCCACTGAATGATGATTTTACAAAAAAATAAATGAAGAATTTTTTAATAAAAAGATTGCTTTCTACCTCTCTCTGTGAGTGCTGCTAACTGGCGGCCAGGTTGGGAGTGCTGTAAAGTTTTATTTCTCATCTCTGTCATTAAGAGGTCTCAACAAACGTGCTTACTTCCTGCTTCATTTGCTAGTTGTGAGGAGGAGTAAGAGCAAGCTAGTACCTTATTTTAGGATCACATGATTACAGAGATTTTCCAAACCTTCATAAATAATTCTTTAAAAAGGAACAAATTAATTTTCCTGAAATTTGGAGTTTAGAGACCAGATAGGCAACACCCACTAGCAAATTTTCATATTCAATCCTAGCACTGTGGTAAAGGTCCAAACCAAAGGCAGGAATTAGAAGCCTCAGATGAAACCTACAGAAGTCAGGAGATGCAAGGCAAGCAGTACCTTAATCCTTCCTTTGCTTAATGTTTTCCACCAAGCATGTCAGGACTTTTCTGCTAGGTACATCTTTAATTAGATAATAAAAGCCAAAAGTGAAATCAGATTTGCTTTTATTGTTGTTATGTGCCGTCAAGTTGGACCCAACTCATAGCGACCCCTCCTTGGGTTTCCAAGGCAATATCACTATGGAAGTAGACCGCCCAACCTTCCTTCCGGGGAGTGGCTAGTGGGTTTGAACCGCCAGCCTTCTGGTTAGCAGTCAAGTGCCTTAGGCACTACACACTACCAGAGCTCCTCAGATTTGCTTCAGAGAAATTTAATTTACAGCTAAACTTCTAGCTTAATCTGGAATTTTTGACAATGGAGAGGTGCTCATGATGTCATTGAGTTATCATGAGAGGGATAGTTTAGGAATTGAAGTTGAGGACTCTCCTGGTCATGTGTAGAGATCCTGTAATGCATTATTTTCCTGGCAGGGAGGAGGGTGCTTTCTCGAAAGTCACCCCTCACCCACTTCCTAGACCTGTTTTTCCCCTGGATAGTTATCTGACAAGTTCTATCTGTGGTGGTTCAAACATGAATCACAAGTTGAATGGAAACAAAAACTGATGATGGGGAAGTAGCTGTGAGGTAGAACAGCTAATAACTGAGGTGAAGGGTTCAACAGGGCTTATTTCTATCTCAAATTTTTGCATCTTTCTCCTTTCCTTCTGTAAGTGGAATAGAATATATTCTAAAATCATTAGTTTTAGAATTATGTATACACAGATCTTGAACACATTCTGTAAGCACACCTGTGTTCACCAGTGCTCAACAACATGTAAAGATTGTGGGGGGTGGGGTTCATTGGTGGTGTTTTCTGGTTTTTTGTGTGTGGGAGGGCGGGCTGAGTGGGTGTGTGTTTAAATTATTAAGTGTTTGGGTCAGACACAGAGAACATATTCCATTGCTTTTCAATTTCAAATGAATTTGTCTTAGTCTGAATGTGGCTTGGAAGAGAGTGGATATGAGTGGGGTAAGAGGTGGGATTTTGAATTTGGCACTGAGTCATAGAGGAATGATGGGAGGGAGAGGGGCCCAGAGAAATCTGGCCCTAAGTGATTTGAATCATACTATTCTAGGAATCATACTGTTACATGATTCTTGCCCCCTTGACAGCTTCTGATTAAAAAATAATAATAATAACTTAGCAACTACACTTGGGTCTCTGTAGTTTATGATTGTGACAAGATGAACCCATAACTTACCATTTCCAAAGCTGTCTACTTCACAATCAAAGGCTTGAAGTTGGACATTCATTGTTTTCAGTTGAAGGTGGGTTGACAGCTTGATGCTCTGTTCACTCACACACTTGAAGGAATGACCGATCATCGTCTCAAACCACACCATACCACTTTCCATTCCTTGGTAAATTCTCCCTGAAAGTAAAAAGGTCAAATACAGATATGTAAGAACCCTGGAATATATCCACTGAGGTCCAGCTGTTGCTGTGCTGCCCATGTGTGGTTAAATGATGTTCCTTCGGACTTAGCTCTCTGAAGTTCTGTCACCTTCTTATGAAAAATCACCCTGCTGATTTGTTGGTGCTTTTGGGGACTTTTTGGTGGTGTTTGGCATATACAGGGGGAAGTCTTACATAAACTGGATTATGAAAACATTGAAATGAGAAATTTTGGGAATATTTTCTTCAGTTATTTTACATCACTGGGGACAGAGCTGGTCAGAAATATTATCAGTGCTGGGGGCCTACAGAGAAGTACCCATAAAACTTCAGAAATAAGGAGAAAGATTTCTCTCTGAGATAGTCACATGAACCCTTTATGAATCAGAGTAGAGACATGCAAAGTCACTGAAGGAGGATGTGCACATCACTAGACTGACTGCCTTAAAATAGCCAAAGAAAGAACTAAGCCTAAATTCTTAAGGAAGGTTGTTGCGTCCATGAATGGAAACAGAGAAGGGAGAGAGGCCATCTCTGCCCGTCGGAATATTCAGGGAGGGCAGGCCCTGCTTAAGGGCTGGACCTATCTTATGACAGTTAAACTGTTCACAAGGAGGTAGGTGTTTCAATGCTTATGAGGTTAAACCTGTTAATCATAGAATTAACTCCATAAGCTTTAATTTCATGCTTATCAAGCATCCTTCTGATTGTAACATGGCTTCTGAAGAGGAGAAAATTGACTACCCAGAATACCCAACTGTCTGAGTCCTTCGTCGGTTACCCTAAGAAGTGGTTGCATGATAAAGTAACACATTGGCATTCTAATTTTATACATTAGTTTCATGACCTGGGGGTTGATATCAGTGCCCTTGAACAGACAGTGCTCCTCTAAGGATATGTCAAAGTAATTTTCCTAACCAGATCATGGAGTGGAGGACCAGACTGAATGCACCCAAGTGATGCCCCAGGGATGTCCACAGGCTGTCAGTGAGGAGCCTGAAACAGCCCTCATTTCCCACCTTTGCATGTATGTCTGCCTGTGCCTGAGAAAACTTTACACAAGTGGGGCTGCTCATTGTGACCTGGTGCTGTGCGAGGACTTTATGTGTACTTTCCTGTTTAATTCTGATAACAATCTTTTGAGATTTGTACTGTTGCCTCAATTTTACAGATGATAAAATGGAGAGTCAGAGAGTTGAAAATATTTGCCTGAGATCATACAGCTAGTACTGGTGCGGGAACAAAAGCATTCTAATTTCAGATCTCATTCTTTTAACCATTACGATATTGTGTCTCCTGCCCTGTTAGTGTACTTGTTACTGTAAACTCTTGTATCATACATCCTACAAGCTGTATTAAATTATTTGTGTATCCTACTGTAACATATTTTAGATCCTGATTGGTCTAATACTACTACTTCCCCTCCACTCACATTACAACTATCATTATTGCTATGATTACTCTCATGACTTCTACTATAATATTACCACCACCACTGCCATTAACATGAAAACTATCATCGCTGCTACTAGTACAGCTACTGCTGCTTTTGCTAAGCCTTGATCATCCAGCCTTGGGACCCGGAATTGTTTTTTTTCCCTCTTTCTCATTCTTGGTGTAGAGCCTAATGCATTTGACTGCTAACCAGAAGGTTGGCAGTTCAAACCCACCAGCCACTCCATGGAAGGAAGACTAGGCAATCTACTTCTGCAAAGATTTACCTCCTCGGAAACCCAAAGGGGATCATTATGAGTCGGAATTGACTAGATGGCAGTGAGTTTTCAGTCTCTAAATTGGTTGCTAGTTTGACTTTCCCTTCCCTATATTTGAGAGGTTACTACTCTATTACTTGTTAAAAATTGGTCCATGTCTAGTGATCATATTAGCCAATTTATGTTAACATTCACACTATTTCACAATATTTATTCCACAGCCTATACTGGTAGACTGGTCTAAGTGACAATGAAAGGTCAACGATGATATCTTTCTTGCAATAGCACACTTTGGAACAATGTCAGTACCGTAGGACTAATAGTTTAAATGGATATTTCCCCATATTTTCATTTCTTGATACATTTCTTTAGTACATGTTCATCAATGAATAAAATAAGAAGTTTAAACCAGTCAAAAAACAGAACTTCGAAAAGGAGAAAGCAGACCTGAAAACTCCTAGTATGATACATGGCACAGAGAAGGTGCTCAATAAAGGTTGATTATTGTGGTGCTTATGTTTGTGTGTCAACTTGGCTGGGCCTGGTTGAGTGGCTGGGTAGCTGGATGTAGTATTCCCCATGATGAGACTGGTAATCAACTCCATGGTGAAATCTACTATGAGCAGCTGAGTAGCTGCTTTTGGGTATGTGGTTGCTTCCTGTATATAAGGAGAAGCTTTGAGAATGGTCTCTAGCCTATGGCATGCTTGGACCCTGCATATAGCCGTGTCATTGCTCAGCAGCCTGCTATGCTCTGCCGAGCATGGTAACATCGGGACTATGCCTTTTTACTTGTCAACCTTGGGGCTTCTCAGCCTCAGCAGCCAACAGCTGTCTGAGTGAAGAAACACCTCTAGCTTCAGTGGGCCAGGAGCAGGAGGCAGAGCTGGACCCCACGGTTAAGGGGGGTTAAGTACCAGCCCCTAGAGCCTGGTACTTTGAACTTGGACTTAAAGCCTCCAAATTGTAAGAATAAACTCCTGTTTGTTAAGGCCATCCCATTTGTGGCATATTTCTTGTCAGAGCGACACTAGGTAACCAGAACAGTTATCTAAGTTTAGGCTTCCCAGGAAAATATCTGAGGACTCAGAGAAACTCATGGGACTTGAATGGGAGCATTATTTCTCTAAAAGTGCTCATAGTATGAGTTCTTTCAACCTTGCTCCACTCACTATGAATAATACTCTATACAGCAACCAAAGTGAGCTTCTATAAATACAAATCTGACATATCTGTGCCTTACTCCATACCCTCCAATGGCATCTAATCACATTTTATAATAAAAGCCAAAGTCCTTACCATCCTACAGGCCTCACATGTTTTGGCTCCTGGCTCTTCCTCATCCCATTTTCTGCTCTCTTCTCTCTCTGGGGCCTGTGCTGGTCCTTGCACACACTGACATCTGTTGTTCCTACCATCTGCCAAGAGCTTCTCCAGGCTTAGATATCTCTGTGGTTATTTACTCACTTCCTTTAAGTCTCTACTCAAACACCACCTCTTTGTAGATGTTCCCCTGAGAACCCTATCTGAAATAGCTAGCCATTTGCTCTCTGCCTCCCACCCTAATTGGTGTTTCCTTAGAGTACTTACCTTTACTTGACATTACATTATCACTTAATGTGTTTGTTCATGGCCTCTCTCAGCCCATCTAGAATGTAATCCCCAAGAGGACAGGGACTATCTGTTTTGATAATTATGGATCCTTATTGCATGATACAGGCCTTGGCACCTAGCAGGCACAAGATGCATTTCAGTTGAATAAATGCACAATTTCCCAAGAAAACTTGTTACCATAAGTAAGATGGTGACCCCACGTGTGTTAGAACAGAACTGTGCTCCATATGCTTTTCAATTGCTGATTTTTTGGAAGTAGATCATTAGGACTCTTTTCTGAGGCACCTTTTGGATGGACTCAAACCTCTAACCTTTTGGTTAGCAGCTAAGCACATCTGCAACACCCAGGGACTCTGTATGATTCCAAGAGTATCAGATAAACTATACTATTAGCAGCAGATCTGTCAAAAAGTCACTAAACGCTTTATTGTTGCTGAAAATGATCTCAGGCACAATCTAGTCCAACCTCCTTCATAAGCAGATGAGCAAACTGAAGCACACAAAGATGTGGAAAACTCCCCAAAATGATACAGCTGTTTACTCTCAGACTGTTTCTTAAAGGGAGCATCAAAGATGACAGGAATCAATGGGATGAAAAAATGAACTAACAAGAAACACGATGTCATCACTAGTGGAAAAGTCATTCTCTAAAATACTAACCTGGCTTTGAGACGGTCAAACAGGCTCCCACTTCACTGATATAATATGAGTTTTCATCCTGTAAAAACAGCACTATGTTAACCATTGGGTAATCTCCATTTTATGTTTATGCTCTTGGCATACAAATTTTGTTTAGGAAGATTCTAATTATTAAATCCTTGATTTGGGGGAGTATATTGGTACTGAGCCATAATTATATTTGAAAATGTCTAATAAGAAGTAAATATACCATAGAAGAAATAAATAATAAGTAGAGACTTGACTCTTGAGCCAAGAATTCTCTAGTGCACATGTCTTTAAAACAAAAACAAAAACAAAAACTCACTGCTGTCAAGTCGATTGTGACTCATAGCAACCCCTGCTTGGGTTTCTGAGGCGGTATCTCTAGGGAAGCAGATTGCCCAACCTTCCTTCCAAGGAGTGGCTGGTGAGTTTGAACTGCCAGCCTTCTGGTTAGCAGTCAAATGCCTTAGGCATTGCTAAACCTGAAATTCCCATTCCACCAGCACAGTTTGAGTCTTTTCAGTTGGGCCAAGTTTACCCCTGTTAAAATGAAAGTATACCTGGGAGATGGAGGGATTGGGGGAGTATACATTAAGCTTTACTAGTAATTAATATCTTAGAGTGTTAAGATGGGGACCACTCATCCTTAAGGATACCATGCGTGGTTTTCATGAGGCCCATGAACCTTCTGGGGAAAAAATATCTGCAAAATTGTGTATGCACTTTTCTGGGTAGGGGGTCAATTGCTTTAAACAAATTAGTGGGTTCATGTCTTCAAAATGGCTAAATGGGACCAGCATGAGGGATATGGGGAAGAAATGAGTGCAATCACTAGGTGTTCTCCAGAGAAGGCCCTAGGCGGTTGTGTTTAACATTTAATGTGCAGTGCTCCACATTTTTATCTAGGGATTGTCTTCTTGGAAAAATAAAACAAACAAGCTAAAAAACAGTCCTATAACCTCCTAAAAAAATGAGGGTATGAAATATTCATGGAGATTGGATCTGAATATGAAAGGGTAAGTTTAAAAAGGGAGGGTGTTTGTTTTTATGAAGTGATTGATTTATAAGAAAACTTTTAAGTTTTCATCAGAAAATGATCTACAAATGAGAGATGCAAAAAAATGACAGAGCAAATAAAATCAGAATCTGAAATTGAATTACTTTTAGAATTTCAAATCTAGTCATAAGAACATTTAACAATAATAATTTCAACCATATTACAGTCCACTTAGACATTTTTCATGGATAAAGTGATGATTCATTACACAGTATAAACCCACTGCCATGAAACTGATTCTTACACACAGTGATCCCCACAGGGTTTCCAAGGCTGTAAATCTTTATGGCAATAGATTGCCTCATCTTCCTTTCAGCAGCTAGTGGGTTTGAACCGCTGACACTTCTGGTTAGCAGTCACTGTGCCACCAGAGCTGCTTTACACAGTATAAACCGCCTGCCATCGAGTCGATTCTGACTCATAGTGACTCCATTGGGTTTCCAAGGCTGTAAATGTTTATGGAAGTAGTTTGCCCCAGTCTTCCTTCTGCAGAGCGGCTGGTGAATTTGAAGTGCCAACTTTCCAATTAGCCTTAGGCACCACACCACCAGAGCTCCGTTACACAGTATAATTGTGCTGTAAATACAAACTGTTTTAGTAAGGTCACTGATTCTGAGACACTGAGCTCTAGCTTCTATCATTCTAGATTAGCACCTACTACATACTAGGTTCTTATCTTATTGTCTTGTCAGCCTCTGTACCAGGTATTTCCATGCACAACCTAATTCAATGCACAACAGCTATGAGAGGAAATGGAGGCTTGAGGACCTGTCCAAGGCCATATCTCTAACAGATGGCAGGGGAAGATATGGCCTCAAGCTGCCAGTCTCCAAAATCTAGCCTTTAACTGCTCTCACACCCACCCTACACCAGGTATTGCTCTAGGAGGCCCTGGGAGAGGAGTAGGACCCTCTGCCTGTCTCCAGCTGCTCTGCCTCCTGGGTCTCAAAGACAACCTGAATAACGTGTTTGAATCATCCCTTTGTTTTAGGGAAGAGCATCTTGGTGTGATCCAGGCACTTCTTGGGTCCCTTCCACATATTTACTCAGGTTATTCTTTAATTGGGGTCCTTTTAACATAAGAAGGAGCTCTGCTGGTGTACTGCCTAAGCCGTTTGACTGCTAACCAAAATGTTGGTGGTTCAAACCCACCAGCCACTCCACAGAAGGAAGATTGGGCAATCTACCTCGGTAAAGATTTGCTGCTTCAGAAACCCAAAGGGGGTTGCTGTGAGTCTGAATTGACTCAATGGCAGTGAGTTTGAAGTTAACATAAGAGATCTGCACTTCAGGGTCCACACTCAGTATTCTAAGATCCTCATCCTATGCTAACGGAACAGTGGATCCATTGAAAGCTTTTAAGCATGTTTTAAGCATGACATGATCAAGTTTGGGTGTTTGGAAGTTGCTCAGGCAGGCTACAGTGTGAGAATGACGAAAGGAGCCATAGGAGCACAGTGACAAGGTGAGCCCTGAGCCTCATGGATGGCCTCTGGAATCCTCCTCTCCCTGTGGCACCCCCCTGACCCTACTTCAGCATAAGGAAAGGGTGTTATGCATTTCCATAAGGGCTTCACAGTTCACATCCTAGTCCTCCAGATCTACCACAGAAAGAAGAGCAAGCAAGATAAACTGGACTTAGCCTTATTGATGAAAGAAACAGCTGAAACCTCAGCTGTGGAGTGAGGAGAGGAAATTTTCGGAGCTTTAAGCAGGTATCAGATTTAACCCAAATGCAGGGAAAGTACACGCCAGAAAGTATGCAGCTTATGCACTCTGCTTTCTCCTTTGACACCCACAGGGTTATTTTCAGCCATATATTTTTTTCATTTGGGGTTTGGGGTACTTAGGGACAAATAGCTACCATGCTAGATTGATTCTTGAGGACAAAGTAAAAATCCTTCAAGTAACCATCAGCATTGACAGAAGGGGCTGAGGATTCCTAATAGCTGCATACGGAACTTCAGCATTTAGCTCAGGCTGGGACCAGGTACATGGTTGAATCGTATAGGCATGCCCCTTCAAACTGACCACTTGTGAAAACAGTCCCATCTCGCTACTTAGCCACTGGGATGCTGACATGACTCCTCATTGCTGGTATCTAAAGGGAGCTCTGCAATACTTTACCAAAGAGATCCTAATTCCTCAAGGGCTCTAAACTTCCTCCATACCAAACTAAGTGTCTACTAGCATGTCCACCTTTGCATAGGAGATCTGGAACAAGCCAGCCATCAAGCCTGCCCAGGAAGGCAGCCTGCCAACAACCTTATAGCCCCAGGGTCCTCCCTCAATTTCCACTGAGTATATCGTGGGAGTTTCACAGTCACAGATGTTCAGGATGCAGATTTTGTCTTCGGTCCTTACACCTTTTTGTGCTCAGCACTGTTGTGACTAAATCAAGAAATTTTTGCTCTGGATATACCAAAAGGAACCCAAAGGGGCTATTTCTTTAGACTTGCTGACTAACTTTGTGGCAACTTGGCCCAGAGTTCTCTGTGAAATTTATATTCACTTCTTTACTCATTCATTCATCAACCATTGCTAAAGATGTATGTACAAACTCAGAGCTGGATACTAGAGAGAGACATTGAATAAGGCAGAGCTTTTGTCCTCAAAATGGCAAAATGTGTGGCAAGTACATTTGTAGAGAATGCTCCGGGAACAAAGAGAGGAGAGTCTCATTTTCACCTGGGGTGGAGGTGGGGGTGGGAGTGGGGAGTTGGGGGAATGGTTCGGGGAAGAGAAGACTTCACAGAGTGAAGATAATTGAGCCATATTAAAGGCTGACTCCACCATCTGTCTGTCTGTTTGTCACTTTGTCATATTGTGGTGGTGGCTTAAGTGTTGCTGTGATGCTAAAAGGTATGTCACTAGTATTTTAAGTACCAGAAGGTTCACCCATTGTGGACAGGTTTCAGTGGAGCTTCCAGACTAAGGTAAACTAGGAAGGCCTGGATGTCTACTTCTCAAAATCAGCCAGTTTAAACCTTACAGATCACAACTGAATATTGCTCAATGTAGTGCTGGAGGCCCAGGCTAGAGGTACTCAAAATACACAGAGGCTGTAACAATAGACTCATGCATACCACCGATTCTGAAGATAGCTCAGTACCAGTGTGTTTTGTTCTGTTTTACATGGGATTGCCGTGAGTCAGAACTGAATGTAACACAGTGGGGGGTGGGGTGGGGTGGAGACGAGAACATTCCAGGCAGAGGGAATATCATAAGCAAAATCAGGGCCATGGCACCTTGGGAGTTCTAAGTAGTACACTCAGAGGATGTTAACATTGAGCATTGATGATAATTCTCAGGACCCCAGCATGTAGTCAAGAGGGACCCAGATATCCCTGAAAGGCTCTGGGAAAACCCTAGACGATGGCCTACTCTGGATTTCAAGACCTTCCCTGGAGGATACACTGCCGGGAGGCCTACCCCTTTTGCCTGGATGATTTATTACTCCCACATCCCAGAGTCTGCAGTAGAGGCCTCAAGTTGCTTTCCAGCCTGCTTTATGGAAACATCACTGCCTGAGAGGTGGATAAGAAAGGGACTGTGTTGAGTACAGAAAAATAAACTCTGCACAAAGTCACTGAAGAGTGTTTTTAAGACAAATAGGGCAGGAAGGAAGTTGGGGGGTTGGGTGAGGGATGTTTATCTTTAACTTGAAGGGCCCGAATAATGTTCAGCATATTAATTTAATCAAATGAGACAACACAGAAAGATTTTCGGTTCTTCAAAAAATGAAGGAAATGAGAAAGGAAACCCCTTCCCTAAGCCCCACAATGACCCAGAAACCATGCTTAGCACATCCACATTAGTACTATTTCAATTTTAGAAATTACAAATCACTGTAGATGATTTGAAATTATCCTTATATTTCTTTTAATTCCTCCCATAATGCCTAGCCCAGTGTTGAGGACAATGTAGACTCTCACTGCCATTGAGTCGATTCTGACTCATAGTGACCTCCATTGGGTTTTCAAGGCTATAAATCTTTATGGAAGCAGACTGCCTTATCTTTTCTTCATGGAGCAGTTGGTGGGTTCAAACCACTGACTTTTTGGTTAGCAGCCAAACGCCTTAACCACTACACCACCAGAGTTCCTTGGGGACAAGGTAGGTGCTCAATAAATTCTTACAGATAAATTGGTTCATTGCAGCTAAATCAGGTCTTCTCATCAACATTCATTTACCATTCTACAACTTGGTTCTCACTTGTCATGTGTATTTCATTAAAACCAACACACATTCCTATTTCCCAAGGTTCTCTTTTTCTCTAGAGCAGTGGTTCTCAACTAGAGGTGATTTTTCCCCTCAGGGAACATTTGTCAATGTCTGGAGACATTCTGATTGTCACAACTGGGGGGTGTGTGTGTGTGTGTGTGTGTGTGCATGTATTACTAACATCTAGTGGATAAAGGCCTGGGATGCTGTAAACAGAACAGTCCCCACAACCAACCATCTTGCCCAGAATGTTAACAATGCCACTGTTAAGAAATACTACTCTCAAGGGATAGCAATATTTGAAAAATAACTGATTGTTGAGCCCATTTATCTTTTGGAAGGATCTAGAAGGCTTTCCTGCTAAAATGCATTCTATACAATTCTACTTATTAGGGTATAAGTTACAGCACTGGGATCCACAGGTCAAATATGGCCTATACTTTTGTTTGGCCATCATGATGCTCACATTTTTAAAAGTCTGTTGCTGGCATTGAAAAATCATGTGCTTTCATGAAAAGATCAAGATTTCTGCCTTCTCTTGAATAATCAAGATCTGTCAACACGGGCCTCTCCTTATCAGCTGAGAAAGGTGATGTATGAAATATTTAACAGCTGAATTCCACTCATAAAGATGGTGACAGTCACTGGTTCCACACCAGCCCCACCACTGCTACCACCAGCTGGAGCCAAGGAGTGGCCGCTCCCTCTGGGTGGACAAGCATCCCTACCTCTGCTTTTGTCTTCTCCCCACTGTGCTTTGTCAGTTGTCAGTTATTTCTCACGCTGACCCTGTTGCTTTCCTTATACAGATTTAGCAGAATAATGAAATCTTTTTTGTCCTTGTGTCTTTATTAAACATGGGAAAATAAAAATGTAAGGACTGCATGTTTGAAGGAAAACATTTTTTACTAGTTGATTTATCTCATCGATTGCTTAGTTCCTGTCAGTCTTGAGTTTGTGGCTTCTGTTTTTGCTTAATTAAGTTCTTTCCTGAAATGAAGAAATTCCATGGGAGGACTAGGGCTAGCAAGAATAGGGGGCAGTTCTATTCTGTCCTGTAGGGTCACTATGAGTTAGAATCAACTTGACGCTAAGGGGATGAACTTATTTGCTTTCCTCTTGTCCTGTAACTAAGATCAGCTTCTGGGGAGAATTTGTCCCAGGGAATGGGATAATTAAGGTGAATTTGGCTGGTGAGAGTCAGGCAAAGCAGCTACTGTAACACTTGGGCCATGGATTGAGAGTGGCTTACCTTGCTCCCTCTTGCAGGTGGGTGGAAGGCAGGAGGGACCTGCTCTATCCGAACACTCATTTTCTGCCCACACCTCTGGAGGAGGGGTTATCTGGGGGCATGAACAACTTCCAGAAAGGTGGTGATTCAATACTAGTGTGGAGTTTGCTCAGAGGTCAGCTGAAGGGTTTGGGTAGGCAGGATTGGGGGTATCAAGAGGTAGACAAAAACGATAAACAGAGAAGTTGGCAGGTGCCAAAAAAACTTCTGTTTGCAGTTCTAAGGCCCAGCAGCAGTGGCCACGGTGTGCCACAGTCGCTGGAGGGTTCTGATGTCTTCCCTTAGACAACTATTCACAAAGAGAGTGGATGGGATTGAATAGAGCCCCAAATGATAAGTACACTTGCTTATGCCTATATCCTCTGCCATTGTGCTGAAGTGACTTTTCAAAATTCCTGATGGCTCCATAGTATAATTATTCATGGATAGAAAACTTATTCTTCCCTGAATATTCTTCCAGTGTGTGGGATTATGTCTTTTCTGTTTAGAAACCACTGACTTCTAAAGTACATTTCTATCTTATGGAGAAAAATAGGCCCCAGGAGGATAAAGCCTTTGTGACAAATTTAATTAAAAACAAAACCAAAACACCCTTTATTGAAGTTGCTATGCATCAAGCTAGACAGCTTACACAAACCATTCCTAATCTTTCCAAAAGTCCTATTAACCACTGCTGTCAAGTCAATTCTGATTCATAGTAACCATATAGGACAGAGTAGAACTGGCCCATAGGGTTTCCAAGGCTGTAAATCTTTTGGAAGCCTCTTTCTCCCACAGAGCAGCTGGTGGATTTGAACCACAGACTTGTTGGTCAGCAGCTCAGCACTTTAACCACTGTACCACTGTTGTTGTTATGTGCGTCGAGTCAAACCTGACTCATAGCGACCCCTCCTTGGGTTTCCGAGGCAGTATCACTACGGAAGTAGACTGCTCCATCGTTCTTCTGAGGAGTGGCTGGTGGGTTTGAACTGCCAGCCCTCTGGTTAGCAGTCAAATGCCTTAGGCACTACGCTACCAGAGCTCCCACTGTACCACTAGGGTTCTTTAAAGTCCTATTAGGGAAGTAATAATTATTTCCATTTTACAGATGAGAATAATGAGGCCCAAACTAGTCTGAGATCATGCTAGGATCATGGTTGAGAGTCAGTCTTAATCTGTCTGGCCCCAGAGTCTAATCTTGTGCTAGAATATGTTGTTCCTTTTAACTTCAGGGTCACAGGTAGAAAGAGGACCCTGCTGAGTTCCAACTGTAGGCACCTTCTCACAGCCTCCTCCCTGGCTCTTACTTTGCCCATCTGAAGGATACTTTAGAGAAAACAGGGGAACCCACCTCTCCCTCAAGAATGGGATGGACTATGTTACCTCCCCAAGATGTTTGCCCATTCCAGCTCCTGCAATCATAGCTACTGGTTATTGAATGTCTGCCAACTTTTCATGTGCCATGCATGCTCTTTGCAAAGGTGATCTCTAATCCTTTTCCTCCATTTTACAAATGGTAAAATAAAATTCAGACAGATTAAATTGCCTGCCCAGTGTCACAGGGAAAATAAGTGACAGAGTCAATTTTGCTGTCAAGTATCTGTCACCAATGTCCACACTCTTTCCATTGTTTTCATTGTCACTCTTCATTATCTACTCCCCTTGTAGGATGTGGTGTGGAAAACCTAGTAACTTGAATTTGGGCTGGGGTGGTTGGAAAGAACCCATTCTGGCATTTGATTTTGCTCTTAGAATAATCCTGCCCCCACTGGGTATTTCTATGGGTATGTTCCTCTGTATGATTTCCTATTTTAGGTAGTTTGCAAAGGGCACCAGTGGCTGGGTTGCCCAGAGACCAAGATTCCCCTAAGAGGCTAAAGGAGGAAGAAAGCAAACATAAAATGTTGAAACTTCCCTCCTTTCCACCTCCATGCCCCTCATTCTTATCAGTAAAGATCTCAAAAGGCTCTGAGATTTAGTTCCGCTGGGACTTCAAGTGTGGGATTGCACCACTGGCCCCAGGAGGAGGGAAAAGAAAAGCCAGCATAGATTCAGTTCATGTGCAGGGGCTCGGACCTCACCTTGGTAAATGTGAAATTCACAAATCCACCTTGGAAATTCAGGAGGAGGTTTGATTTTCGGGGGCCACAGTTCCCAGACGCTTGGGTCGCATTGGGGTTGATGGTGAAGTATCTCTGTGGTGAAAAAATCTAAACCAAATAAGATATATCAGCTTAATAAGATGTAGAAGAAAACTCAAACTAGGGAACATGAAGCACAGACTGGTAAGTGAACCTAAGCCCAAGGCTCACTTGAGAGCTGCAGACTCCCCAGAGGATACCTTTCATTTCCAAGTCATCTGGTCAATGATTTTTCAAAGGAGACCTCTCACAGACAGGAGGTTTTTGATAGGGAATTCCTGATAGGTCCCTGGGTGATGCAAATGGTTTGTGCTTGACTACTAACCGAAAGGTTGGGGGTTCAAACCTACCCATTAGTGCTGCAAAAGAAAGGCCTGGCAATCTGCTTCCATAAAGATTACAGTCAAGAAAACTCTATGGAGCCCAGTTCTATTCTTTAATACATGAGATCACCAGGAGTCAGAATCAACTCAATGACAGTGAATTTGGTTTTTGGTTTTTGTATCCCTGATAAGCTGTGTGGAATTTGAATTTTGTTCAATTAAATATGTTGAAAGGTACTACAGAAAGGGATTTGCTATTTAATGGACTTCTGTCCCAAATGAAAACCTGGATGTGGAAGATTTAGTTAAAATCCTAAAACTGCAAAAAGAGGAAAGTATTATTTTTATGGTGATACCTTTAGTCAATCAAATAATCATAGTTCCACCCTCTTGAATTTCTTGTTAATCTAAATTTTCCACATTAATGTCACAGCTGCCTGGAACTGTCCAACCAACCAGCTGCTGTTGATTGATTCTGACTCATGATGACCCCATGAGGGTCAGAGTAAAACTGTGCTCCACAGGGTTTTCAATGGCCTTTCTTCTATGGCATCGGAGGGTGGAGTCCACCCTTCCTACTTTAGCCAGCAGCTGTGCACATTAACCATTTGGGCCACCCAGGGACTCTGGCTAGGACTATAGAGACTATCTAATCCAAACCTCTGATTTCACAGGGGAGGAGCTGAAACTCGGGAGTCATCCTGAGGGGGTAGCACCAGGCTGGGACTAACACTGAACACATGGCTCAGTTTGACTAACAGTGAAGATTGTGCATATTTAAAATTTTGGTGTGTTCCTTCTCTCTCCAAATACTTTCTATCTGATTCTATTTTTATATGTATGTATTCTAAAACAGATCTACCTTTTAGCTGAGCATCTTGGGGACAGTTGAGAGTACAGTTATTTCTTTCATTTAAAGATACAGGATGCAGGGGATTCCCATTCTCAGCAAGGCAAACTTCATTCACACTTCTTGAAGTTAGTGCTGTAGTCTTATGGCCCCAACTTACCGACTCCTTGTCTTGAACAATCAGCTCTATTCCCAGCTCTGCTTTTATACAGAGTTTGCTTCCATTTAGAACTTGATAAATTCCAATCTTGTCTGATGATGGCTCTGGTGCAAGGGTGGGCCCAGGAGCTGTAGGGGCTGGTGGTGCTGTGTGAGTGGCATTGTGTGTGGCTGTAGTTGTTCCTGGGGCATGGGTGGATTGAGTGGGCTTCTGACTGGTTGTGCTGTTGCACAGGGTAGTGGACAAAGTTGTTGGAAGGGTGGTCTTGTTACTGGGTTGGGTGGTGGACAAAGCTGCTGGAAGGGTGGTCTGGTTACCAGGTTGGGTGGTTTCCTCAGTTGTGTGGCTGACAGTTGATGGACTGATTATTGTTGTATGGGCTGGTGGGGTGACTGTGGGTGGCTGGGAGTAAGGAGCTGCACTGGGGCTGACTGTAACTTCGGTAACTGGAAGAGCTGATTGTGAGATGTTGGGTGTGGCCTGGGTTGTGACAAGGGTGTGGATTATTGGGCTGGTGGATGGGGTGCTTTCTGTGGTTACTGAAGTCATTGTTGCTGGAGTTTTTATTGTTGTATGTGTTGCTGGGTTCTCAGACTTGGAAGTCAACGCAGCTATTTGAAAGGTAGTGTGACCATCAGTTGATTTTGCTGCTGAAGTTTTGTGAGGTACTTGACTAGTTGACAGTGAGAGAGAAGATCTGGCCTGTACAGTTGCTGCTGTAGAGGGGTAAAGATTGTCTCTGGCTTCTGAAAATGTCTTTGTTCTTATTTGACTGCCATAATGCAAAATTACTGCAAAGTAGGAAACACAATTGTTAAAAATTGCTTGCAAGCACTCATTCCTTTTTACTATTTGTTCATAAAAAAATAACTTGCATATGTTTAGATTTGGGGGAAATTCACAAAGATGTAACAATAAGGTAAAGATCAGCAAAGATTCTACCACTAGGGCACAATCATTGTAATGTTTGGGCTGCATCAATATTGTTTTACAGGGGTGTGACCATGCTGCAGGTATTTTTCTGAATCCAGCTGCCCTGTCTGTATGGGAAGTGGTGCTAATGCACACCAGAGTGATCATGCTTAGTTAGATACCTAAGGGCAATGCCACCCAATGCACCCTCTTCATTCCTCACCTTCCAATGTGAATCCAATTGACAGTGACATGATAAAGCTAGAGCAGCATGATTAATGCAGGGTCTTATAGTTTTCATAGAATCAAACCCAAAGTTTAAAAGGGTCATCCAGGTCATCCAGTCCAATGCCTAATCTGAACCCAACTTGTACTTACAACTCCTAAATTGTACATATGTCATCTTTACCATGTGTTCATCTAACCTATGCATAATCACATCCAATGATGGGAGATTCATTTCCTCACAATATTGTTCCTTCCATTTTTCTTTTTATTGTCCCACCAGTTGTTTCTATAAAGACAGATTCTTGTCATTTTCCTACTTAACCTCTTGAGTGATCTAACTTTTCTCAACCAAGAAAGAAAATTAAGACAGAATTTCTCTGATATTCAGGTGTGCTATTCTTCGTGTTTTAGCTTAAATTTCAGCTCCTCAGAGAGCTGTCCCAGTTCTCCTTATATAAAATATGTCCTTGTCTTCATAATTCTCCATCAAAATGTTATATCAATTTTCTTTAGTGCACTAATCACAATTTGTAATTATGCATTCAAACATACATTGCATCCAATCAGGCCTGGCCTGATTATGTGCATATCAACTCTGCTTATATGTTTATTTATTGGTTTATTTGTTGATTGTCCATCTCTCCCACTAAATTAAAAGCAATCTGATGGTGGTAACTGTCCTTTATTTATTAATTTATTTATTTTACCACTAGTGCCCAGAGAGTTTTCAGTAAATATGGGTTGGAGGAATAAATATCTGAATGGATAAATAAGGATATTAGTATTGTAGACCTTCCAGGATTATTGTGAGGTTCAAACAAACTAGATTAAGTGAAAGCATTTTGTGGACCATTACAGACAAATGGATGTGAATGTTGTCACAGATTCTCTGAGGGTGTCCCTTAAGAGTAGAAGACCTCTGGCTCTATTCTTGACTTCTTTTAGGTACATAACAAGTGAAATAAGTGGAAAAAATGCAGATGATGTTCTTTGGGAATCTATGATAAGGCCCAACTGAGAGACTGTTTTGTCCTTTCAGTGCTGTAGTTTCTTTGTATTTGCCCTCAATCACTCATTGGGGTTTAGCTGTCTGATGCTGGGCAGTGACTTGGGAAAAAATAAGAAAAGGAGAAGGATGTTACTCTACATTGGTATTTATAAAGTCCTAAAGTTCATATCAGGAGCTCTGGTAGTAGCATAGTGCCTAAGGCACTTGACTGCTCACCAGAAGGCTGGCGGTTCAAACCCACCAGCCACTCCTCGGAAGGAAGGTTGGGCAATCCTACTTCCGTAGTGATGCTGCCTCAGAAACCCAAGGAGGGGTCGCTATGAGTCGGGGCCAACTCGACGGCAAACAACAACAACAACAACAACAAAGTTTATATCTATGGTGCAACAGATCGCTTTTATATGACCTTTCTTGCCATGGTCTTGTAACTCTCATCAAATGATTGGGTGAGACTAAGCAAATAATTGGGAGCTCTGGTAGCGTAGTGCTTAAGGCACTTGACTACTAACCAGAAGGCTAGTGGTTCAAACCCACCAGCCCCTCCTTGGAAGGAAGGTTGGGTGATCTACTTCCGTAGTGATACTGCCTCGGAAACCCAAGGAGGAGTTGCTATGAGTCAAGTCCGACTCCATGGCATATAACAACAACAACAAGAAGCAAATAAGTGCTTGTGGCTCACCAAGGGGATTGGACAGCTTCCTAGCAATGCAAATAGGGTGCATGGCACACTTGTGAGGAATAGACAACAACAACAACAAAAAAAAAAAACCCACACTGTCGTCGAGATGGATCCGACTCATAGCAACCCCTCTGTGGGTTTCTGAGGTGGTATCACTATGGAAGTAGATTGCCCAACCTTCCTTCCGAGGAGTGGCTGGTGGGTTTGAACTGCCAGGCTTCTGGTTAGCAGTCACATACCTTAGGCACTACACCACCAGAGCTTGACCATACAAATAAAGTGTATGGAACCCTAATGAGGGGATTGGTCATTTTTGCTATCCTGCTAGCCTTAAAATGAGCCATCCCAGAGGCAGAAATGGGGGACCTCACTACCACCAAGAAGAAGAGATAGGAGCAGAGTGAATCCTTTGGCCACCTAGGGTCCCTGCACTGAGAATTTCCTACACCCAAGAGATAGAGAGTGAGAGATCCGTAACACTGGAGATGGCACAAGACAGTGAGAATCAGTGGCAGAGAAATGGCAGCAGTAGAACCAGGAGACTGGTGCAAGATAACACTGTGGGTTTCCAGGCCCACAGAGCAAGGCATGCACAGTGGGTATGCCAATCTACAGAGTGAGAGAGCTGAGAGGCTTTGGTTAGTCAGTAGGCTTCCTGGTGGAGTGGGGTGCTTCTGGGCACTTATTTTAAATATATATATATATATATATATATATATATATATATATATATATATATATATATATAAAATAAAAAACTCACTGCAGTTGAGTCGATTTGACTCATAGCAACCCCTCCTTGGGTTTCTGAGGTGGTATCTCTACAGAAGTAGATTGCCTAATCTTCCTTTCAAGGAGTGGCTGGTGGGCTTGAACCTCCAGCCTTCTGGTTAGCACTCAAATACCTTAGACACTATGCTACCAGAGCTCCCTTAGCAGAACAAAAGTGTTTTGTAACACTTGCCTAAGCAAGGCAGAGGCCAGACCAAGGAGCCCAGGGGCTGAGGGGAAGGTCTGTCTGTAAGCACAGTTGAGGAGCTGTCCTGACCAAAGAATTGTATCCTGAGTCATTCCTGATGCTGAATTGTAATCTGTTACTTCCCTAATAAACTCTGTAATTGTGAGTATGGTCTATGAGTTCTGTGTGACCATTGCAACAGATTATTGAATCCAGCAGAAGAGTAGAAAGTGCTGTGGGACAGATGGCTGGTGTCAGAATTGGTAAAAAGTTTGGAGAGAGGAGGTTTGTCTGACCTCTCACAGGAATCAGTTTGGGGCTAAGGGTGATGGTCATTTTCTCTCCCTCGCATGAAGTTAGAGGAAGTCAGAAAAACTTGATGTTATTTTTATAATATTCAACCAAACCAATCTTTACCATTTCCTTCTTCTATTTAATACATTTCTAAGTGGTTATTTTTTCTCATAATAATAATAATAATATAAATTTCAAGTCCCTGGACTTACTACATGGCAAGCCTCAGGTAAAGGGTCTTCCACTGGTTCCTCTAAAAAACCCTCTGGCAGGCACGATCTTTATTTGTCTTCAGATGAGGAAACTCAGGCTTAGAAAACTCCCTCAACTTGACCACAATTACAGAACTAGGAAATGTTGGCCCTGGGACTCAAGTTCCTATGTCTGACCCAAATCCTACCCTTTATTTTCGGAACAGGTGGAGGTAGGGTAGGTCTTTGGGAAGAATGGTGAGGAAACAGACAAAACAGGAGAGAAAAATGAGAAAGTGACCCTTCAGTAATTACAATTCACCAAATGCTCATAATGGTGGTCCTTGGTGAAACTTTCTTTCAAGAGTTTACATGAGGAAATAGTGAAGAAAAGTTCTAAATTCAAGCCCAGTAGTAAGACTTGTGAATTATGTCTGCACAGTTTGCAAAATGGGAAAGTAAAAAAGCATTCAAACTGCCTTGGACAACCTTTTAAAAAGTGTCACTATTATTATTAATGATATTAAATCATATGAGATTTTTATTAAAGAGTCCTTTGTATCTAAAATATTCATTTGGGTAAGTTAAATGTATACTTGGGAATTGTGGTTTTTATGGGTGTAGGTATATACTGTGTAGACCTTTGTAAAATCACTCTGTAAGATTTTAAGCCAACATTGGAGAGCTTTGAGTAAGATTTTTTCCTTTCAAGATTGTTATGGAGATTGCTATTTGTTGAGGATTTATTTTCACAACTCATTTAGGCTAAACCTGAGTTGCTGGTTCATTGGTCAAAAACTCAACAGGAACTTTATTAGGGTCATGCTATTGCTATGGAGAAAACAAATTCACTCTCAGATCTGATTTCCAGGAATATGTTGGGAGAAGCAAAGATTGCTGCAGGGAACTTTGGGAGACTGATCTCTTGGGGAGATCATTAGATCCTTTCTAAACTACTGCTGTATATGGCAGGTCTTGTGAGCTAAAGCTAATCTTCTTAACTGAGTATGTGCTCTAGAACAGAAGTCTTCCTCAAGATGGAAATAGAACTCCTCTCTCAGTAGTGATGAATGACCTTAAATAAGAGAAAAAAAAAAAAAAAGAACACATTGGTAGTTCATGAATGCATGGCATCCCAATAGGCCAAGAAGATTCATGGTACTCTGCTAAGGTATGCATGGTGTGTAGGAAGTTTTGTAATGGTAGCCATGGGATCTTGCTACGGCATCTGTGTATCTTTGGAATGAGGAATATGGCAGGTGGCCAGACCAAAAGTGCCAGGGGACAGACTCTAATTAAACATCTCAGAAAGTTCACAGGTGTGTTACAGATGGAACGAGTCTAGGAAATATTGTTCTAATATTCCCATTCTCCTTTCCTAATCTGCCCTCTCCCATTCCCTTCACATCTCCTTGTAGACATGGGACATAAATGATGAGCAGGTAATAGATAGAAAGCTGACAAAACTGCTATGCATTGTAATATGTCCCAGGAAGTTCACTTATTTGTCAGGTACTCAATAAAGCTTGAAAATAATACTCTTACAAAATCTATGCATTGGAGGTTGTTGTTGTTATGTGCCATCGAGTCAGACACGACTCATAGCGACCCCTCCTTGGGCTTCTGAGGCAGTATCACTACAGAAGAAGATTGCCCCATGTTTGAACCTCCAGCCTTCTGGTTAGCAGTCAAGTGCCTTAGCCACTATGCTACCATGCATATAACCACACATATATGACCAACTTTGTTAACAATTTTTAAAAAAGGACCTTTGATCCCACAGAAGTTTAGGCAAGGTCACTTGTCTGTCTGAGGTCCATAAAGAATGCAGTGGGCAGAAACAATACCATAGCTCAAATTCCATGCTTTTGTGGGGACAGATATAAATCTCATATCTTTCCTAGTGATTCTGCTTCATAGATCAAACCTGACTGGTATATGGACATATAAATTCAAACCAAATGCAATTTATAATAAAAACCCATTGCAGACTCTCCTTCTAATGAAAAGAGCATAGCAGTGGAGCCCATGCACTGACTTGCTCTCCTTCTCCCTACCACCAACCCAGCATCTCCTTTTCAGGACTTAGGAGACACAGCAAACAAGTACCCCAGGGCCTTGACCCACTGCTCAGACTCCTCTAGATGTGTGATTCATAGGAAGAGGTGTGAGAAGATTTTGGTTCCCCTACTCTGGTAGCATAGTGCCTAAGGCACTTGACTGCTAACCAGAAGGCTGGCGGTTCAAACTCACCAGTCACTCCTCGGAAGGAAGGTTGGGCAATCCTACTTCCGTAGTGATACTGCCTCAGAAACCTAAGGAGGGGTCGCTATGAGTCGGGGCCGACTCGAAGGCACAACAACAACAACAACAACCCAAGAAGGAGATGAGAGATGACTCGGTTGGCCAGTCCTTGGGAAAGTTAGCCACCACACAAGAGCTCAGGACTTTTTCCCCAGGTATTTCCCTGATAGTCAATCTCTTCCCAGGCAGCCTTTGATTGGTTTCCCTGCCACACCCAATTCAATACGCATGTAGAGGTCTCCTCTGAGCCAGGCTCCATGTCAAGCTCTGGGGGTGAGGTCTTTGTCCTCTGGGGCTCACAGCTTTGTGGGACAGACATCCAAATATCCCAGTTACTCTTCTTTTGTAGGCACTATGGGAACTTGGTGGTGGGGTGGGTAAACCAACACAAGGAGAAATTCTTCAAGCAGATAAGACAGTAAATGGCATTTCAGACAGGAGGAAGCATATGTGCAAAGGCATAAGGCTTCAGGAGCCTGGTATGTTTGGAGAACAGCAAAGAATTCAGCTCAGTAATTGCTTTACAGGTACTACCTCATTTTATCTTCCCAACACCCATGGAAGACTTTCCCTATTTATCAGTGAAGAAACTGAGCATCTGAGAGGTCAGGGGATATGAACAAGGCCTTCCTGCTGGTAAGGGTCAGAGCAGGGATTTGAATCCAGTTATGTGTGACCTCCAAAGACTATGAAACACTAGTCTACTTGTGGTATGGGTCAACTTTGAGGAAGAACCTGTTTCAATCAGTTCACCCTGAGATTTTTGCAGCTCAGACAGGAAAGGGCATTGTGAGCATTCCCTCTCAACTTGCCCTTTACTTGTGGAAAACTCATTGCGTTCCTGAATCTGTCAGTCTTTTAACTGATGCTATTGTGGGTTACTGCTAGACTGAGATTTTTTTTCAACTTGTCCTGCTAAATGTGGTGATGACTCTCCTGCCACCTCCACCCTCCCACCCCCACACCACCCCTACAAAGAAAAAGCTGGTGAAACTATTATTCTGAAAGTGTGGCACAAGGAAAACAGCCTAGATTAAAGCAGCTGACCTGACACTTCACACAACTTCCCTAATAGTTCATGTTATAACAAAGTGCCATGGTGCCCTCCGTTTGGGAATCTTAGGAGAGGCGTTTGGACAGAGCTAGTTCTCACACATGTTCATTTCACTGTTTCTAGAAGGAGTTGTGAATCAATCAACAAACTTGGTAACAGGAATAGGACAAGAGCACACAAGAAGACTCAACGTCCTTGGGAGAAAATGCTATTGGTGAAGGCAGGGAGTTGGGATACAAAATAATCATTATAAGCCCAATTTCTAAGACGACCTCTCTGAAGTACAAGGGTAATTTCTTTATCTTTCACTCCCTGGCTTACATCTGTCTAAAATGGAACAGTTTGTCAGACCACATCTTACACATTTTCACAGTTCACTGTATGTAATACAAACATGGCACTTCCATTTGAGAAAAACAGAAAAAGCAAGGCATGATGTGCTTTTTTCAGACGTTTAGAAATAGCCCCCATTTCTGAGCCCTGGCTTAGTTCTCTATCTCTTAAATCTAAGGGATGTCTACAAACCCTTTCTAATAAAATAAAGTATTATCTGGGAATCAGAGACAGTGTCACTGTCTTCGGGAGTTAACACCTATTATACTTAACTCAGGGAAAACAAGTCCAATTATGAAAACTTCCTGGGGAAAAAAGAAATGAAAGTGTGCCCCACCTGTGTAAAGGAATAAGAAGGGGACTTTCTGAAATACCCACTAGTGTCTGAATCATACCTACATTCTGTCAGGTCTCACCTTGAGCAATGGCACCAGAATGAATTAGAATTTAATAGGTCAAGACATGGCAGGGTCGCCATGGAAAGGTGTGTGTGTAACTCACCGACAAGGGACACGAAGAGCACCAGCACTGCTGGGAACTGCCAGGTCATGACTGCGGCGCGGGAGACGGCCGCCTTGCCAACGGTTGGCTCTGCTGCTGCTCCGCGGCTGCTCAGCACAGCCAGGTGGAGGGAGCTCTATGGGAGTTCTGACTGGCGCAAGGTTGGTTCCAGGGCAGACCCCGGAAACCAGAGGAAGAAGCAGCTCTTTGCCTCTCATTCACTTGGGGCGGAGAAACCGAAATCACTTACATTTAAGAAAAGTAGCTGAGAGGCCCGCCCAAGTGGTGTGCTGAGGAAGGAAACCACAAGTGATCCTTGAGCGAAAGCAGGGGTTTTTCATCTCTGCTTCTGTTGTTTCTGAGGGACGGGGCAGACCAAGGTGAGGGACATCTGGGATTATTTCTCCACAAGAGGTGGGTGGGTCTGTGGCAGCATCAACTTCTTTCTCTCAGAACTTGGGTTCCCTCTTTCTCTCAGCTCTTGGGTATACTTCTGCAAACCCAGAAGCCCTTCTCAGCCAGGAGAAAATCAATCCTTCAATCCCTTCATTCGTAAGGGTGAGCTGGAGTCTTAAAATCCGGTGGCTGGACTACTGATGGTTGTGTGTTTACCAGCGATTTAAGGCAATACTACTCCATGCCCACCTCCCCCAGGGACTTGCATAGCCCGCTGTGGGGAGCTAGTGAGTAGGGGGAGCACGAACTTGGGAGTCAGGGAGTCTGGATTTGAACTGGCCCTGCCAACCTACCGGCTGTATGAACTTGGGTAACCTCTCTGGGCTTGTTTCTTCTGCTATATAATGGGGATAATAATAACGATTCCTGAGTGTGTTTAGAAACAAAACATTTCTGGAATGTAGAAATACTCAGTATTTTTGAAAGGCAACTTTTCATGAATTATCTCCTTCTATTAATTACACAAAACATGACAATCTATCTCTCACGTGTGTGAATCCAAATGAGGAATACACATATAGGTAGTGTATTAGGTTACCCTCTTGATTACTGGGGTTTAGGGCTTTCACCTTAGTCTCAGATAATTTCCTGAAAAACAATGTTGGCTACAGCTGTTTTTATCTTATTATGTCATTATAAACATTCAAACTTACCAAAGCAGGTGGTGCTTACAAAATGACTTAAAAAAAAATAAAAATTTATTGTACTTTGGGTGCAAATTTACATAGCAAACTTGTTTTATATTCAACAGTTTATGCACATCTGATTTCACGGCCCAATTACCGTCCCCAAATGTAAAAAACCTCTCCTCTCCTCTCCCCACTGTGACCACTCCCTCCCTGTGCTGTTCTCATCCATGCATTCCTATCTGTCCAGCTTTCCCTCTATGTAAGTGCTACCCCTCTGGTGTCTCATGACTGATCCAAGGGGTGCATCTCCCTAGAGTAGGTGGGTGCATCAACCTGAGGTAGGAGTTCTGTATGTAGGTCTTTCTATTGTTGGGCTGAGAGCCAAGCCATGTAAGTAAGTTCATTTCTACGTTCAAAGGGTAACACAGTCTCTCTCTGACCAGCAATTCAGTCATTTTTGAGATTTTGAATTTTGTTCCACATTTTTCCTCCCACTCAATCCAGGATCTCCAGATTTGATCACTTTCTGAGTAGTTGGCATTGGTAGCTGGGCACCATCTACTTCTTCTGGTCTTGGGTCATGGAGGCTGAAGTCATTATGGTCCTTCTTATTTTTGGACTAATTGTTTCTGAATGACTTTGATCTTCTTTACTCTTCTTTGCTCCAGACAAGAGGAGACCAATAGTTACATCTTTTAAGACCCCAAAGTCTTTTAAGACCCCAGTTGCTACTCACCAAATTAGGTTGTAGAAGAAAATTTTTATGAACTATGTGTGTCAATTGAGCATGAGGTCTCCTGAGACTATGGTCCCAACCCTCAGGCCTGGTGATTCTCTCTCACAAGATATTTGGTTGTCTCTGAGAAGTTACTCCAACTCTGTCTTCTGTTGCTTCTGTAATGGTAATGTGGCTAACTTTGTAGCACAAGTGCATATGTACAATTATCCTCAGCCAGATCTATCCTTGGTCTAGGGTATATTCCTGTTTACCTACCCCCACCTGCTCTTCTCACCTGTCTATGCTGGCAAGGTAGACAGCTGTAGCCTGGTATCACTGCTAGTGATACTGCAGTATTGTGTATTTAGTAGTATTTGCCTCTGTTGTCTATATGTTTTGTGTATATTTCAGTGTCTTTCCTTTCCCCAATGTCACCACGCTGGTCACATACTCTTTCCATACCATTCCTTCCCTCACCCAAATCAATATGTGACCTCCCCAAATAGTCTGAGATTTTTCCCTCCTCTTCCCTCCCATCTCTGGTAACCAACAAAGTGAATTTCCTTCCCTGAATAAACTTTCCTTGACTTTTTACAATAGTGGGCTCATAAAATATTTGTCCTTCTGTAATTGACTTATTTCACTCAGCATAATGTCCTTTAAATTCAGCCATGTTTTGAGATGATTTGGGTATTCTTCATTTTTCTTTAATGTTGCGTAGTATTCCATCATGTGACTGTACCATAGTTCGGTTATTCAAACATTTGTTGATAGGCATTTAAGTTGTTTCCATCACTTTGCTATAGTGAATTGTGATGCAGTGAAAATGGGTGTGCATATGTCAGTTCATGCTCTGTCTCACCTCTTTAGGTTATTTTCCCTGTAATGGAATTGCTGTATCAAATGGTATTTCTATTTTCAGTTTTTTAAGGAAAAAGCATACCATTTTCCACAATGGTTGTACCATTTTGCAGCCCCACCAGCAATGTATGAGAGTCTCAATCTCCCCACAGCCTCACCAGCATTTGTTATTTTCTGTCTTGTTAAACTTTGCTATTATTGCTAGGGTGAGATGATATCTCATTGCTGTTTTGATTTGTATCTCTCTAATGGCTAATGAGGAGCTCTGGTAGCATAGTGGCTAAGGTACTTGACTGCTAACCAGAAAGCTGGCGGTTCAAACCCACTAGCCACTCCTCGGAAGGAAGATGGGGCAATCTACTTCCGTAGTGATACTGCCTCGGAAACCCAAGGAGGGGTCGCTATGAGTCGGGTCTGACTTGATGGCACACAACCACCACCAACAACAACCAATGACTAATGATCATGAGCATTTCCTTATGTGTTTGTTGGCCGCCTGTATATCCTCTTTAGTGAAGTGTCTGATCATTTCCTTTGCCCATTTTTTTTAATTTGGTTATTTGTCTTTTTGGTGTTGAGGTGTTGAAACTTTCTATAAATTTTGGAAATAATTTCCTTGTAAGATAGGTCACAGCCAAGTTTTTTTTTTTTTTTTTTTCCCAATCGGTAGGTTCTCTTTTTACCCATTTGGAGCAGTCTTTAGATGCACATGAGGATTTAATTTTTAAAAGGTCCCAGTAAGGTAAGATGGCAGAATAGGTAGAAAAACTCCACAGACCCTCTTCAACAAAGAAAAGAGAAGCCAATTGACAGAGATACAGAAGATAATCCTGGAGGCCTGAGCTTTGAAAGGAAGTATACAGAAGTGGATTAGGTGCCAACTAGTGGAAAAACCTAAATGAAAACAGTGAGTATAGAGATGGTCAGAGTAGTGGACTGTCAGCTACTTTAACAGGACCAACAGCCTGAATATTTCTAAGTGGTGTTGGGACCTAAGAGTTGACCTAAAGATCAGCCCTGGTCACCTAGGGCTGCTGGGATGCTGTGCTGGTAGCCTATGATTAAGAAGGGAAACAGCAAGGAGGGAGACAACATGAGCTGTGGACTTTCAGCTGACCAGAGGGCACAGCCATTTTGATTGTTTACAAGCAGTGGCCATTGTGGATATTTAAAGGGACCAAAGGCTTAGCCATTTTGAATGTTTATAAGCAGCAGTCTTTCTGGATATTTAAAGTGACCAAGGGCGCAGCCATTTAGAATGTTTACAGGAGGTGGACATTTTGGATTTTAAAGTGACAGCATTCTCACTCGTATTCCAGGGACCTAAGAGTAGTTTCCATTTGCCAAAGATGGCAGGGACATATGGGAGGCAGACAATGGGAAAGGAGACAGGTGGTGAGTGTGTAAGTGCTGCTAACTAGTGAATAAAGGAGCACAACACAGTACCCTGCTTATGTAGATAATTTACAAAGAAAACAAAAATCATGGGCAAATCACTCCAACATACAACCACCAATTAAACATAAACACAAAAATGTCACAATGCCTTGGAGACAACAGAGCATCACAGTCCACACAAAGAAGCAAGATAAAGCATGAGAAACAAGGGACCAGGATACAGAC